AGAAAACAGGGAGGATAAAAGGAAATGAGGCACCCATGTGAGTTTGTTCGAGGTCCCCTGAAAAACACTGCCATACCCCATACGCCTCCTGCAATAACAAATATCTGCACACCCAAAGAAAAGCATGCATTACTGCCGTCATCATTATAATACAAGTTTTCAATAGATCTCAATCAGCTACTGCTCTACCATTCCTATCTGTTGCATCTGAGATCATAGATCTCAATCAGCTACTAGAATGTTCTGATATCTAGGTATTAAACCATCTTTAAATTATTATTCCATAATATTTTTCATTCATAAAAACAATGTAGCTAAATACATTTCTATTGTGTAGAAGAACGTTGCAGTGAGGCTTATTAAGCTGCCCGTCGTTAGAGGGAAAAAAAATCAAAAAGAGCATCCTTTAGCCCTCAAATTCCAGCTTCAGCCAATGCAATATCCACTGGGACCATTAAGGGAGCAAGTTCAACAACAAACAAGTTGGCCGAGTGCATGACATTTGTTCCAACTCCGGGATTCAAGCATCCCACAAAAATATTTTGAAGCTCCAGCTTCCTTATTTCTCATTTAATATTTTGGAATTTGAATCACTATTTTATGTAATTTAATATACAATTGTTATAATTCCAATTTATGGAACACTGATGTGATTGTGGTTTTTAGATTTGTGCTCAACTATTTCTTTTTATTAATAAATGAATTTCTCTACTAGAGTTGTTAAATTTTTATGTCTTCTTTTAAACTCATCAATCTTTGGAGTAATAGTGAAATTGACAACGAGGATAAAATAAACTTTTTAAAACTTTTTTAAATTTTGTGAAGTTAGGGTAGATTTTTCCAAAGGAGGGAAGGCATATATCTTAATATGTTTTAAAGAATTAATGATTTAATTTGTTTCTTAAATTGGTATATCGTAAATTTTAAACATTCTCGACACATACGTAAAAGTTAGGTGTGTGTGTGTGTGTGTGTGTGTGTGTGTGTACATACATATATACATACATACATACATACATTTGTTAACATATTATTATGTTTCAAGATAACAATAGGGACTATTTTGATTTAAAAAAATCTACAGGAACTAATTTGACTCACACACATATATTTAGAGGACCATTTAATTAAACATGTCATTGCCACAGTGTCATGCCTCCTAAGCATTACATAATGCTGTCAAGTGAAATTCCGTTAGAGTGTCTAATATGAAATATATATTTTTACTTTCAGGGACTAATTTGACTTGATATAACATACAGGGACTAAATTGATTTACACGGGAACATACACGGGCTATATTGAGCATTAACACAATATATGGTAACCCTAATCCTAATTCCTCCCCCCCTCTCTAGTACTTTTTTTCTCCCCAAACACCTAACTTCCCCTTCTGATGTGCCGCTGGGTTCGGAGTGGCTGCCTCTCAGTAATTCCTACCTTGATATATATATGTATGTTCTCCTCCGTGTGACATCTTTTTCTTACCTTAGTACTTAATTGAAAAAACATCCAAAGCATTATTGTCCTAAATAATTGTATGGGTTGTATCTAAAATGCTTTTCTATTAACATAAAAAATGAAACTGCTCCTTTATGAAGGTTATCTAACACGCTTTTCTATTAACAAAACACAAAAATGCAAATATGGCATTAGAGCATCTACAATGAGGAGGGGGAAGACCCACAGCCACTCTTTTTTGGGGAGTGGGGGGTGATTGCAGCGTACCATCTCCTTGCCACTCCGCTAAGGGGGGGGTAACTTTTTGAATATTTCAACAATTTAAAATATAAAATTAAACTTTAAAAATACAAACAATATCTTTTTCATTTCAACTATGAATAGAAAGCGATAGCATTAAAAGGAAATGCCTGACTAGGAAGCGATAGCATTGCGTGTGTTTTGTTTTGTCACAGAAAAGGGTATGATGACATCGCAATGGAGATGGATGGGGAGAATCCTCCCATTGTAAATGCTCTAATGGACTGCTCACAATAATTTTGGAGCATAGTTGTGAAAAGCGCGCTTGAGGCGTGCCTGAGGCGCAATGCGCACGAAGCGCCAAGGGGAGTGCATCGTCAGTCTTGATGCACGCGCAGTTCGTGAGGCGTGCGCCTCACTGCGCCTCTGTGCATTATGCGCAGCGCCGTGATGCGCAAAAAAGCGCGCCTTGTGAACATGTGTTTACTGTTTTTTTAAAAAATTAGATTTAAGGTTTAGCTTTATTTATTACGACCCCCAACACGATTAAACCCTCCCAACGTTTACGACCCCCAAGGAACGGCGCCTTCTTATTCTTTGAGTGCGACTCTTCCCGTCTCTTCCTCCAGTCTCGCAAGTGGGAGAAGTCAGAAGCAGTCAACCAGGTGATATATCTCTCCTTCCCATCTCTTCGTACTTTATTTTTTTCTCTACCTGGTTTTCTTCTTTCTACTGGGCAAGTTAATTTCTCAAATACTTTGCTATAGTATGGAAGAATCTCCAAATTTAGAAGGGGAAGATGGCCCAAATTCTAATGATCCCGGATGGAAGTATGCTCGGAGGGTCTCAGAAACAAATAGGAATGATACTATTTGCATCTTTTGCAATAAAATCCATAAAGGGGGCATCTTTCGTGCCAAAGAACATATTGTTGGGGGGAAACGAAATGCAAAGGGCTGCTTCAAATGTCCTCCATCAGTTCGTGAAGAAATAAGAAATTATATGTTCTCAAAGAAAGCCCAAAAAGACTTGGAAAATCAAGCACAACCTTCTTTTGTCAATGTGAATGATGTAGATGATGATGATGTTCATGATGATGGAGGTACGCCTTCTACTCAAAACTTGGGAAGTAATGTAAGAAAGAAGCCAAGGCAAATGGGTCCTATGGACATGTTTTACACTCCTACTCCTGGTCCTAGCACAAAGAAAGCTGATAAGCAAACAACCATCAACGAAAAGTTCAAGAAAGAATTTAGAGAAAAAGTCATATTGGGCATAGGTGAGTGGATGTATGATGCTGGAATTGCTTTTAATGCTGTGAATTATCCAAGTTTTCAAGAAATGTTAGACCTTGTTGGTCAATATGGAATAGGCTTAAAAGGACCAAGTTATCATGAGGTGCGTGTGAAACTTTTGAAAAAGTCTGTGGAGAAGGTGAGTGATTACATAAAGTCATGTGAAGGTGTATGGGAAAAGTACGGTGTTACTTTAATGACAGATGGATGGACTGACAATAGGCACCGAACGTTACTTAACTTTTTGGTTAACTCACCTCGGGGATCAATTTTCTTGGAATCTGTTGATGCCTCAGAACATGTAAAAAGTGGAGAAATGTTGTTCAGCCTCTTGGATAGTTATGTGGAGCGTTTGGGAGAAAAAAATGTTGTTCAAGTTGTAACAGATAATGCTACTAATAATGTTCTTGCAGGTATGGTTTTATTTTTTGCATATAATTATATAACTAAAAATTATTTACCATCATCCGTTCTTAGTTTCTTACTTTACATGGCTAAATGTTTACTTTATAGGCAAATTACTTCAAGCTAAAAGGCCACATCTGTATTGGACTCCGTGTGCTGCACATTGTCTTGATTTAATTTTAGAAGATATTGGAAAACTTCCCATGTTTAAAGGTCCCTTAAAGAAGGCAATGGCAGTAAATGCTTTCATTTATGTTCGCCCCGGCATGGTCTATTTATTGAGGAAATTCACCGGCCATAAGGAACTTGTTCGCGCAGGTGTTACTCGCTTTGCTACTGCATATTTGACTTTGGAAAGAATGTACAAGGTGAAGGCTGGCTTAAGAAATTTGTTTAACTCTGAAGAATGGTCAAAGAGTAAATGGTGCAAAGAGGTGGATGGGGTTCGAGTGGCAAAAATAATATTCAACATAAGGTTTAGGAGGTCTGTTTTATATATCTTGAAGATATACTCTCCATTGGTTTGGGTTCTTAGATTGGTTGATGGAGAACGAAGGGCTGCAATGGGGTATATCTATGAGGCTATGGATAGAGCGAAGGAATCAATAATGAAAGCATTTGACAAGCAAGAGGATAAATATAAGCAAGTTTTTGAGATTATTGATGGTAGATGGGGAAGCCAACTTCATCATCCGTTGCATGCTGCAGGTTATTACTTGAATCCTGAGTTTTTTATTCGGGATCAAGTTCACTTTCTGATGGAGAAGTGGAGAATGGATTTACGGAAATAATGGAGAGATTGGTGGGGTCTGCTACTGAGCAAGATAAGATAACTAAACAACTTTCTTTATATCGGAAAGCTGAAGGACTATTTGGTAGACAAGTGGCCATCAGACAGAGATGCACATTAGCTCCGGCAGAGTGGTGGGAAAACTATGGAGCACAAGCCCCCGAGTTACAAAAGTTTGCTATTAAGGTCCTTAGCCTCACATGCAGTTCTTCTGGTTGTGAACGCAATTGGAGTGTATTTGAGCATGTAAGTACTAAATGTAATATACAATTACATAATATCATTCTGCATTATTGTATTTATATTTTTGTATATTATTAATTTTATTTTTTGGTGTTTTGTAGATCCATAGCAAAAAAAAGAAACCGTCTTGCTCAAAAAAGGTTAAACGATCTTGTTTATGTGAAATATAATCGTGCATTACAACGACGATACAATGCACGTGATTCCATTGACCCCATTTCGTTGAGTGATATTGATGATAGCAATGAATGGTTGACGGGAGAGATGGATGGAGAAGAAAATGACTTGGTTTTTGAAGGTGAAGACTTAACATGGACACAAGTTAGTGAGGCAAGTGGAGCTAATGAACCTTCATATGTGACTAGAGGAAACAAGGCTCCAGTAGCTCAACAATTCCCTCAAGCTCTAATTCAAGCAGCAGGTATACTACTGCAGAAAAAGGAAAAATGCCAAGAGGGAAAGGACCAACGCCAATGGATCAACATAGGGATAAGGGAAAGAAGCGGGCATTATCTTTGAGAGTTATTGATGAAGAAGAACCATTGTTTGATGATGATGATGATGATGATGATGCTCCTGAAGAAGAATATAATGAAGATGAAGTGTTTGAGGATGAAGGAGACTGGCTTTCCAACAGTGCTGATGATGATGACTTTTGAGGCTTCCCTCGTTGTTTGATGACTTTTGACATGTTCTTAGCCTTTTGTCTATCATTTTGTTGCTCTTTGAATG